GTGGGGAAGTTTGCCGCTGCCCCCCTCTCAATTATGTCAATTTACTGGGTTGTTTTTGCCCCCCCCCTTTTTCATTTCAATTAATGGGGCTGGTTTCACACCCCTCTCTTACGTGACTTAGGAGAGTAGCCGTGCCCCTTGCATCCCCCCCTCCCATGCGCACGCGTATGGTGACGTCACGTCGGACCATAGGTTGCTTTTTAGACTTCAAGGCCGTTGGCTTGTCTGGTAAGCCCACGATCAATGCTGTAACCAGTTCGCGGAGGGGGAAGTGGGTTAGGATCCTAGCAGCACCCCCCCCCCCACACACACACACAAGATTGTTACTTTCTTAAACGGATAATTCCTCCAAAATAGATGCTTACCTCAAATAGTCGAAGCCTTCAGCAAATGCTTTCATCCCCCCTCCACCCACCTCTCTCCGCACTGACCAGCGAGAAGTTCCTGATTGATTGATTTGTGGGGTTTAACGTCCCAAAACCACTATATGATTATGAGAGACGCCGTAGTGGAGGGCTCCGGAAATTTTGACCACCTGGGGTTCTTTAACGTGCGCCCAAATCTGAGCACACGGGCCTACAACATTTCCGCCTCCATCGGAAATGCAGCCGCCGCAGCCGGGAATCGAACCCGCGACCTGCGGGTCAGCAGCCGAGAACCTTAGCCACTAGACCACCGCGGCGGGGCGTGAGCGAGAAGTTCCTTGCTAGGGGCCTGCCTATGATATGCCTATAACTGCTCAAAATGCAGAAAGAAGAGGGACCAGCTTGTACTGCTTGACACAAATCAATACAAATATTTGGTATAGGCCGCTAAATCCCTACTGCTTCGCATTACATCGAGTCTCAGAACGAGTGAGATCTGCCGACTTTTATTTTTTCAGCATTTCTCTTGTATACACCATTACTAAACATGGTTTCTTGTTCATTCACAAATTCCCACCAACTCTTCTAGGAAAAAAAACTGTATAACAGAACCAAGCCATTTCTCAAGAGATGGAAAACGTCCTAAATGATTTCCAAGGTGATTTGCTTAGGGAGAGATAGACGGCCCGGGTAAATTATCACATTTGTTGATTAGAAAGCCTGATTACTCAGGTTTGATTTGACAGTTGATATAAAAGTGATACACTGCCTTTTATATATCTGTGTTTTTGTGGGCGAAAGACGACACAACCACCCGAGCGAAGGACAGTCCGTCGGATCTCATGGAATGAAGAATGCTCGAAATGTAGAGATGGCAAACACGCGCCCTGTGAACTTAAACAATTGCAATGCAATTGATCTTCTCTTCACGTTTTTTTAATATCGAAAGCCTGCTTTCATTTCTATAATCGTTTCGACAGAGGGTCTCATGATAACGCCGACGACAGGTAGCTATTAGGCTGTCGATGCCGAGCGAAATACGGAAATCTGAGCGGAAAGAGAAGAGGAGGGAGGATAGGGGGGATTGTCCCCGTCGGCGGAGAATTCTGAACCACACTCGCGTTCTCAGGCTGCATACCTTAGCAGACCTTGCTATATATACACACTAAAATACTGGAATAAACCTGCAATCACGTAAACAAATCACCATATTTTATTGAAAAATGACAAACTTATTTTGTGCACCTAACTTTCAGGGCACAGATAGTTGTGCTTGTTTCTAAGACCCCCTGTCATCTTGGATAATGTGAAGCTACGCTGTTGTTATAGGATGCTCGATTCTTTGGCGCAATCTTCTTTTCTAACGGGTTAGAAGTACGCACACCAGCAGATCAGTGTTGGCGTATCACTATAACACCACTCGTTATCACTTATGTCAACCTACGTGAAGGAGTCAGTCAGGATAAAGGGCAAGCGGCGCCTGTTCATCGGAGTCAGGAAACTATTCGCTCAAAGCTTCTTTCTAACTAGTACTGTAAGTTATAAACACGTTGCATGTAGTGATCATGCATGACATAAACATCGATAAGCATAAAACGCAACCAAGAAAAATCACAGCCAATCCACGGAGTGGATTCGCTGTTGGCTACGCTGAAGAGATGGACTGCCCTGGACCATAAGGAGCTTTGCCCCTAGCAACATTCTACTTTGTGTTTCGAAAATAGTATGGAACTAAAGTCATATTTTAGTAGAGCAGTTGACAAGAGAGTACACGCTGACCACCACGACTGATGGCCAGTTTAACCTCATGAACGAGAACCAAATTCAGATGAAGGGATAAAAACACCACTTTCAATGAATCACTTTTTGGGGCAGGACAATAAAGAAAAAGAATAAACGTGTGCCGCCTAGGGCTGCGAGAGAAGGCGAATGAACTTAAGTGTCCTATGGGGCAAGATGGCTCCGCGTCTGATTTCTCGCGTTTGCGCATACTTGTCATAGAGTGATTATAGACTACTCGGGTATATCTTGCTGCAGACGATTAGATGCTTGCTGCTGCAAGCATCAAACGTGTCTTCTTGGCCATCAGCGTAGACACGAAGCGCCCAAAACAGAACACTTGAACTTTGTACGTGTACTTTAACTTCTTGAGAAAACAACTTTATGAAGCATAACGTCTATTTAATACCATTTGACGAAGCAAAGTAACTATACAAAGGAGAAAAAAACATTTATTTATTTATTTATTTATTCATTTATTTATTGTACCCTCAAGATACGAATGAATTCATTAATTAGGGCAAGCTTACAGCTCTACCCAAAAGGGCGTGGAATGTGTCTACCTTTTCGGAAGCAAGAAATAAAAACATGAAGTGAAGGCAGTGAAGCTAGAATGAAAAATTAAGCAGACAACAGGAAACAGAAACAAATTAGGAAAGAAAGAGAAGTAAACGTTTATTTTCGAAACAGTGCCCCGAGCAATGTCACCCTGAGGTGGGAGGGCTCCTTAATCCAAGAACTCTCTGGCTTCTACTGCCCTCTTGGCCCTGGAGACGAGTTGTTGTTGGTCTTCCAGGTCCTCGAGGGCGAGCTTCGCCTCCCACGTTTCGGTTAGTTCTTCGTTCGTCCGTCCTGCTTCATTATCAGTCATGTATTGTTGGAGATTACGTCTGGCAATACACTGGCATACAAGAAGCAAGTGTGCCAGGGTATGGGAAGATGCTTCCAATGCATGCACGATCTCCCTGGTCACTGCACTGCTTTTCTTGCTCTCCTATTGTGTATGAATTTGGGCTAAAACATACACGCTTTGTTATTTAGTAGGGTGGCGTATTGGACAAGTTGTTACTTCGTCTTGAGGGGAATACCAATAGCACCAGAAGTCAGAAGAAGCAACCGAGACAAGAAAAAGACAGGGACATCCTTTTATACCTGTGAGCATTCTTCCTGTCCCTGTCTATTTTTCTTGTCTGGGTTGCTTCTGCTTTCTTTTGGTGCTGCTGGTATTCCCACTAATACACGCTGGGGTATTTCTATTCCACCTTCGAAGCTTAGTTAAACCCAAAGTCTTTTTCAATAGCTACACTTTATAGCGGCTGATCTTCATGAGCTATTGAGAGGTGGAAGTTAATTTTTAAAAAATATTGGGGTTTAAGGTCCCAAAACCACCTTACGGTTATGAGAGATGCCGGAGAGAGGTGCTCCGGAAATTTCGACCACCAGGAGTTCTTTAACGTGAACCTAAATCTAAGCACACTGGCCTCAAGCATTTTCGCCTTCATCGGAAATAAAGCCGCCTGGATTCGATTCCGCGACCTGCGGGTCAGCAGCCGAGTACCTCAGCCACTAGACCACCGTGGCGGTTGAGTGCAGAAATTTGCGGAAGCCGCTGTTAACATGTCAGTGGGCGTGCAGATTAAAGCGTCTATGTTCACATTGCAAGAAATCTTGTTAATTATTGTCATTATGCTCGAGGTAGTGTTCTTGACAAAAAAGAAAGAAAATTCTACGTCAATCTATGCGTAAAAGTTTTATTCACAATTGGTAAAACAGACATATACACGGGGAGTTTACTGACACAGAGGACGCACAAAAATTAAATGTTTCCTAAAGCCCATCATCACAGTTTGGGCACATAAATGAAAGTCAAAACTATAGTTACAATCTGTAACCGATAGCTCTTGCCCGCTTAACAGAAAAGCCAATGTGTCATTGCTGCTCGGAGACACTAACATCAACGTCTCGGCATAACACAAAAGGCATTGCACGTTTCACTACTTCAACTTTATACGGGAGAATAACAGTGTTGCCTCTAGCTATGGTTGGCACTTTCGTCGCAGAAACCATCGGGAATGCTAGGTGACGGTGCCATGGAGTTGATGGGGACATTCGTGCACACCACAACTGCCGACATTGTAAATATGTACATTTGTCAGAATACATAAAGACTTCTCACATACGAACTTCGTAAAAGCTCGCTCCCGCCAATCATTGCGTGGAACAAACAATGCGCGTGTACAAAATGTCAGTACTGCCAGTAGCACCTTGTGTGAAAGGCTGCACAGCCCTTCGTCAGCCTCGGATACCAGCGAACGTAAAGCCTTCCATATATTCGGCCCGGGTTCTACCTATATATAGCAAACCCTTCATTTTCATAATACTGAGATATTCTTTCTCATTTCGTTCTTACGTGGTTCTATGAGCAAGAGGAGCACTTATCACAATCAATATCATTCCAGAGTGGAATACATGGTAACCATGGTTAAAAAAAAACTTTACATAGAGGCTTGAGCTACCGAGGCTCTTAGCTCAAGCGTAACCACACCAGAAGCATTGCCTCTCTTGATTTTGTTTTTGCTTTCTGAATATAGGAACATACAATTCAATGCTGATCACGCATTATAAGAGAAAGGTGTTAGCTTGCAGACTATCTATACTGATGGCTAATTGCAAAACGTCCATCTGCTGAGTTGCTTCTCAGACGTGTGAATAAATAAATGGGGAAGAGTAAACGACTTTAAGTATAAGCTGACACCCGTAACAACAATATCAAATAGAATTGAGAAAACCGGTCTAGCAAATGTCGACTGGGGGCACAAAAAGTGAAAATTTCAGGTCTTTTGTGACAACGAGCCA